GAGGCTTCTCCTGGCTCCCAAAGCCAGGGACCGGATTGTCCCTGCCGTCACGTAGGGTGGCATGAGCCTGGCGTGGCCTGAGAGTTGGTTTTCTTTGGCCCTGGTAGGTGGACGGGGAGCTGGAAGCGCTGCTGGAGAACGGAGAGGGTCTCTCCGACAAGAACCAAGTCCTCAGCTTGTCCCGGCTGATGGTTCGCATCGAGACGCTGGAGCAGAAGCTCACCTGCCTCAAGCTCATACAGGTGAGGAGGATCCAGCTGCAGGGGAGGAAGCCACGTCCCGTTAGAGAGATGTCCTGGTTACCCTTAACATCTTAAGATGTTCCTCATTAGAGGAAGAGGGGGAAGGTGGGAGAAAGGCCTGCGGGCGGAGCGGTCCTGCTTGGCTCTTAGATGATGTGCGACCTCCACCCTTCGCTCCTTGTGTGTTTGGTGGAACCTGGGTGGTGGTGCAAAATTCCCTGTTCTAGAAGCGAATTGTACGTGAGGGATTTAAGGAGGAAATTAAATTGTCAGCTTAAAATCGTAGCTGTGGCAGCTGCCTAGTGCTGGCTCCTGCCATGGGTTGGACCGGTAACGCCGGCCCGGTTCGGCAGTTAGCCCGGGGAAACCAAAGGGGGTTTTGCTTCGACGTCTCCGACCGCTGCCACGGGCTCTCTCTAACGTTGGCTCCTCCAGAACACGCACTCGCAGTCCTGCCTGAAGTCCTTCCTGGAGTGTCACGGCTTGTCCCTCCTCTGGATCTGGATGACGGAGCTGGGCGATGGCAGAGGAAGCACCGCCAACAACCTGAAGCTGCAGCTGGAGGTCGGTAACCGCTTCGGGTCTGAAACTGTCCTAATTGCCAACGTTGCTAATTGCTCAGAAGCACGATGATTTCGTTTTTCTTTTCTTTTTTTTTTTTTTTTTAAATATACATTTTCTGTGCCAAGTGTTCCTGAAAACAAACTGCAGGTATCCTCAAAACTGTGGCCGAAAACTTCTGCTTTGAGGCAAACCCTTAATAGGTGGAAAGAATTCGCTCTTGTGGTTTTTCTTAGATGTCTGAGTTAGGGACGGGAGCCAGACCGCCATAAAGAGCGTTGCCGTTGGTGTTTATTCCGTACAGAGCCGGGACTTGGAGGCACTGAGGGTCTGAAGTGGGACTGGAATATTTCTGGTTTCTGCGTGCGCTTCGCCGTCGCATGCGAGACGACATCTGGAAGTCCCTTTATTAAAGACGCTGCTACAAGAAGGTTGCTGGGCGGCTGGGAGAGGCCCCTGCGTCCCCGTGTCCCCAGGCAGCAACCGGAAGCCACGGGGGGGCT